GGCTACTTTGGGAAAAAAGGATGAACTCTCTCTTGAGCGCGCACAAGTGCTTTATTTTCTTGCTAATAATGAGTATATTATGCATGGAGTGTCTATTGTGCAGCTTATGATAACTCATTACAAAAAAAACTCACGCAAGTACTCTTCTCCCTTTCCGATGATTATCATGGAGATTCTGAAAAAGAAGAATGTGCCAATTCCTCCAAGGGCTAATCATAAGCCTATCATGACTGAATTGGATCCTCGAGCTTTGAACAAATCAAAGACTGTTAGGGAGAATGCTAGAAAGGCAAGGACATCTGTTGATGAGGGGCCATCACAAGTTTCAGATATTTCTCAGCTATTTTCTCTGAAAGGAATTTTCATGAAAACTGATCTTAATCTCATGTATTCCTATCTACTTCAGCATCAGAATTCATTATTTAAGAAAATGATGGTTGAGATCCGAGATCTCAAATTATAGGTCGCTCAGTTGAGAGGACAGCCATCTGGGTTCCAGATGAGGATGTCTACAGGCCTGTGCCTCCAGATTCGTCTCTGCAAGCTGAATATGAGGGAGATAATGAAGATGAGGCTAAGTATACAGATGAGGATGCGGAGGATGAGAATGCAGAAGAGAGTGGTGAAGAGGATGTAGAAGAGAGTAAAGAAGACTAGAGATAATGTTTCTTATCTCTGAATAGTTGAGGAGACATGGTGCTACATTTATTTGATTATTTATCATGCATCCTGACATTATGTTTTGTTTAATTATTGCACCACTTGTCTATGGCTTTGGATATTCTGAGAATATGTTTTCTTAGACTTTATTATGCTTATCTGAATTGTGCTTTAATTGACTTCTTTGAAATGGAATTTACTGTTCTAGTATTATTTTCACTTCTTTGTCAATTTATTACAAAAAGGGGAGTCTACCTGTCAATATCTAAAATGGGGGGAAGAAATAATTGGATATTTACTTCAGGGGGAGTTTTTAAGTTTTAATTTAACTTCACTGGTAGTTGTTGCTTGAAAGTGTGTAGGAAACAAGTCAAGTTTTGAATCCAAAATAAACAGTGTTCCTATTACCTTTAAGCAAATCATGTAATTTACTTTTCTGTTTTGGGTAGATTGCAAATATTGTTTTTAGGGTTTTGTTACGAAATTGCCAAAGGGGGAGACTGTGAGATATTATTTTTTTTTTGGCAATTATCGTAAACATAACAAGTCCAAGTTAAGTTGTAATTTAAATTACTTGTTCTACAAGTCATCAAATTCAACAGGGATTCCACAACTGGGAAGGAGTTCAAACTTACCTTACTTGAAGAGTTTGTGACGAAAAGGGTAAGGACACTACATTAGGAAGGAATATGAACAAGGTTGGGCATTCTACACTTTCCATATTAGTATACAATTTCCGTAGAATGAACCAAGGCTGAAGAAATTCGAAATCCGAGTCTGCCAACCTTGAACCGGTTCAGCTTCCTTGAACCAGTTCAAGATGTTCAAGTTTGACACACTGCCAAACTTGAACCGGTTTAGCTTTCCTTGAACCGGTTCAAGCCCTCCTGTTTGCAATACAACTTTAGTTTCCTTTTTCTAATTAATTTCCCAGTTGGTCTAGAATTGTACCAAATCCTATGCATAAAATATACCTTATTTTCAGAGAGATTAGGTCATTCTATAATCTATATAAACCATGTCATATACATTGGTTTATTCACGGCTTTTACATTATAATTCAGATATTATTCAAAGCCTTAGGAAGTTTACTTCTCTCAGATAATCAAAATTGATTTTTCTGTTGTCTTCCTAGAACCCACATATATTCACCTAGTGAGTCTAGAGTTGTGGTGTTTGAATCCTAATCGTGATCATACAGTTATATTAACATCAATCAGATAAAACAGATCATCTTCTACATCATTCAGACGATTGAAGAACAGAAGTAAACGCAGTCACACTTTGGAAGGATTGGAGCATTCGCGGAGTGCTGTCTGATCTACCTGCTACTCTTCTACAAATATCAAGTGTAAGCCTGAGATCAAGTTGCTGTTGGACGGGGAGTCGCAAAGCCAGAGGATCGTCAGCGGTTGGTGTGGTGTAGAACGATAGGGTGTGAGCCAGAGTCAAAGTTCAGTATACTTTGTTCCAAGCATAGTGGATTGGTTTACTTTGGACTGCACAAGTCCACGAGGTTTTTCCCATAACAGTTGACGTATTTTATCAACTTGGGTTTCCTCGCTAAAATCCTGATGTCATCTCTAACTTTATACTTTGCTTTATTTTATCTGCATGTGATTAACTGTTTAATTGCTACAATATAAAATAAGTAAAGTAGTTAAGGACACAGATCTGTTTTACAAAACCTAAAACTTTCCGGTTTACATTCCGCTGCGTACGACTCACATCATTTATGTTTCTACTTGTTTACACCATTGGTCCTCTTCAATTACATCTCAACCAAATACCAGAACAAGAACAACGCTTGAGCTCTGCCGGATACAATCTATGGAAAGAAGAGGCAAAGTGCTTCCAATGGCTCAATTCCAAACAACCCAACTCTATGATCTATGCGAATTTTGGGAGTGTTGTTGTAATGAAGCCTCAAGAGGTGCTAGAGTTCGGTTTGGGACTAGTTAATAGTAACCACTCTTTTTTTTTTGGGTGATTAGGCCTGACTTAGTTGTTGGGGACTTTGGCAATTTTTGAACCTGAATTCTTGGAGGGAATTAAAGAGAGAGGGTTCATATCAGGTTGGTGTCCATAAGAACAAGTTCTAAATCACCCATCAATTGGTGGGTTTTTGACACACTGTGGGTGGAATTCAATTGCTGAGAGCTTGTCAGCAGGAGTGCCTATGATCATGATTTGTTGCCCAGTGTTTGCAGATCAGCAGACAAATTGTTTATATGCTTGCAGTGAATGGGGGATTGGGATGGAGATTGATGGGGATGTGAGCAGAGAGAAAGTGGTGAGAGAGTTGATGGATGGAGAAGAGGGGAAGAAAATGAAGAAGAGAGCTTTGGAGTGGAAGAGATTGGCAGAGGAGGCCACTAGACCACTTGGTTCATCTGCTTTGAATTTAGACAAATTGGTGAATGAAATGCTGATGTTAAAGAGCTAGGCCGTGTGGGATGCTTTATATGATTCATGTGGATTAGTGGGAGAAAAGTCCAAAACACCTGATTATCAAAATTTTAAAAAGAAGCTAGATTCTAGAGTATAGTTTGATTTGGATATGGGCTTGTTTGGAACATTGATACATTAAATTGTTATTGGCTCCTTTTATTAGCTTTTATATGTTTTTTTTTTTTTTTTTTTTTTTTTTTTTTTGCACTAGCTTTAATATGTTCCAATAAAGTAGTTTTCAAAATTTAGATGTAACTTGGGGCATTTTTGTTCTCTCATGCTTCTAACTAATTTGTACTATAAGATACTAAATTTGTACTAATTGCAAACATGATGTAATGATGTTGCATAATGGATCGATTTCTTGTATTTGCTTTCTTGATTAAAAGTAGACGCATTTATACATGATGTAATTCTGTTACATCATCGATTTTCAACCGTTGCAAATCTAATATAGCATTGTTGCAAAAATAATGTACATACAACAGGATTGGAGGGGATCCAAATCTCTTTATTAGCATACAATAAAATGATGTACGTATACCTAACATAAACTTGGGTAACACAAAACAAGGTAGGCAAGTTGGGCCAACACTCCGACTAACGGTGCACTATTAGCAGTTGCGGGTTTTGATTGTTGGAAGTTTTGTCGAGAGTCCGAATAGTTGTCACCTTGATCCGGACCACCAACTATTGCACCCTATAGCACATTCGGGTTTGGTGCGTTTTTGTTAAACCAATCTTGGAACCCTCCTTTGCATGTTACCGGCTTTTTATTCCTTTTGATGGATACAATCGATGATCCTTTGTGATGGATCCGCTTCGGATAGTTTGACCCGAACCTTACCATATAACTCATATGTCTACTTTAGCTAATTTTATCAACATGTTATTCTACTGAATTTAGGTAAGTGGGACAACAATCATATTTCAAGAATTTGAGTATTTACAGCTAATTTTAGTAATTACAAGCATCAACAAGTCATTTAAATTGATATGTAATTCGTAATTACATAATCCAATTAGGAATGGAACCATTAGTGCAGTTGGTAAGTCTCATCTCTTAAAGAAGATTAGGTGAGGGTTTGAGCTTCAAGACAGACTTAATTTTATGAGTGTGGGTGTGAGTATATATATATATATATATATGTAAAAGAATATTAGGGTATATTTAGTTAGACGGAAACTAATAACAAAAAGTAAAGTATGAAAGAAAAGTAAAATTTGCAATATGCACTTGATCCATTGGTATTTTCAACAGAATTTGAACTCCCGACTTCATTTTATTTGAATTTGAGTTATGTTAAATGAATGAGAAAAGCTCCATTCTCATTATTTCCTATACTTAGATTAAGACACTTTTAAGATTTAGAAAAATCGATAAGTTTTTAAGACACTTTTAAATTATGTGAAATTCATACTCTCCTTATTACAACTAAAATGAAGCAAATTTAGAGATCAATAAAAAGTCTCTGTGATTTTTGTCGGTTGTAGTTGCGATGAAATTTCAACCCTTTATTACTTCGATCCATGGTGACATGGTGTTAGGTTGATTGCAAACAACACAACACAAAAAGATTGGACTCTTTTGGCATCATCAAGGAATATTTTCTGAGTCTCTCGTGACACACACATAATGTTGAATATTGCCAACTCAGCATGTAATGCATAACCCATTACATTATCAAACTTGTCCTCCAAGATGAGTGATCAGCAAACGTTTTTTAATTAGTGCCAGCTCCATACGTGATCAGCAAGCCGTGGTTGATGATTCTTGACTATAAATATTAAATAGCCATGTATCTCTTTCATTCCAGATCATCCAAGATTAAGTGTGTTAGCTCAATATATTTGGCACCACAAAGGAGAGATTGTGAGCCATATAGAGAGAGAACAATGGCATTAGCTGATAAACCTCATGCAGTTTGCATACCATTCCCACACCAAAGCCACATAAAAGCAACTCTAAAACTAGCAAAGCTGTTTCACCACAAGGGCTTTCACATAACCTTTGTCAACACAGAGTTCAACCACAGACGCTTCCTCAAATCCAGAGGGCCTAACTCTCTCGATGGTTTGCCTGACTTTCAATTGGAGACCATCCCGGATGGCCTCCCTGCTTCGGATTCTGACTCATCCCAAGACCCGCCTACTATTGCTAAGTCCATTAGAGAGAACTGTTTGGCTCCGTTTTGCGACCTCCTTGTCAAACTCAATGACACTGCATCTTCTAATGTCCCTCCTGTGACTTCCATTGTGTCTGATGGCGGCATGACTTTCACTATCACTGCTGCTGAAGAATTTGGGCTACCTGTTGTACTTTTGTGGCCACTTTCTGCTTGTGGTTTCATGGGCTTCTATCAGTTCCGCTCTCTTGTGGAGAGAGGCCTTGCACCACTAAAAGGTAATCTTTCCCTTCTCCTTCCTGTTCCAAAAGTGTTCTTTTCTGAATCTGGATTCACAGCTTTGGTCCTGCGCCACAAGTATATCCATAGTGCAACCCACTACATTATTATACAACAAATATATGAAAAAGTTGTTTATTACTTTATAAAGTTGTTGCATATGCGAAGTTGCTTGATGTAATGACACGTAATGTTACATGAGATGAAATAGCAGTAGAGAATTAGAACAAATTTTTAACTCTTGGGTTACTCTAAACTGGGGTGCACACGGTTCATTAGGACAGAACCGGAATCGTATAGTTCTACAGAATCGTTGACTGAAGATGATGAAACCGTGGTGATAACGAGACGACGGCATCACGACGGTATGTGAGAAAATAAGAGGCCGGAATTACCAATGAATAACGAATACAGAAGATGGGAGGCGGCCGCTTCACCAAAGAAGAGATGAGAGGTTTTTCATAAATAAAAAAAATAAATAAATAAATAAAAAAAGATGGGAGGACTGAGGAGGCAGCTTCAACAAAGAAGAGAGAGAGGTTTTTCATTAAAAAAAAAAAAAAAAAAAAAAAAAAAAAAAAAAGGAAAAGGAAAAGGAAAAGAAAAAGATAAAGATGGGAGGAGGCGGCTTTCACTAAAGAAGAGTTGAGCGCTTAGGTAGGTTTAAAATTTTAGGGTTAATTACAACGATACCCCCTGAAGTTTGCTATAATGACACTTATATACAAGTTAGACATTTTTTGAACAATGACACCCCCTGACAAAATTTGGAGCCAAACAGACCCTTAAAAGATTTGAAAAGACAAAATTGCCCATCAATATTTAATTAATTTTAATTATAAAATATTAAAATTTTAAAATGACACTTTTGCCCTTCCTACCAATCTCTTCTAACCCATCAATCCAGTCCTTTCTCTCTTCACCCACCGCCATCATCTCCTCAGCCACAACCCCTTAACCACAGCCACCACCACTTACCCTCAAACACATCCCGCCGCCACCATCTCCTCAACCACATCCCGCCGCCACTTCTCTTCAACCACAGTCGCCACCACCGTCTCTCTCCACACATCGGTGATTGCACAATATCACATCTCTTATACTCCGGGAAGCAAAAGGCTCAAAGCATTGGATTCACAGAAAGCGGCGGCAGCGAGGGTTAACGGACGGAGCTCAACGACTACAACTGAAAAACCAGCGAAACACGGCAAGACCCAGATCCAGTTCCCGATAGCAACTTCTTCAAACCTCTCGCCGACAGTCCAGAGATAGTCGTCGTTGAAGAACTCAACGATGAAATCAATGATCTGAAATACTACAGCAAGATTTCAACCGCGAGCCAAGCTCGTCTATGCACAGCGGTCGAAAATACACACAGACGATGAGTTCTACAGGTTCAACCAAAGGAGGCAGAGGCAAGCCCAAGTCTTCCAAGAACGGTGGCTAGGTATTCAAGAACGGCGAAGAGGTAGACCGGAGCACCAGCACCAACTCGCTCGGCGTACTTGCGGCCTTTGAGGGAGTTGGCGATTCTGCCGACTGGGAATTGAAGACCGGCCTTCTGAGGTTCTTGAACTTGCGGGGAATGCGAATGTTTCAATTCATTTGTGGTATTAGATCCTTGTAAACCCTGATATTGGGTAATTTTGATTTGATATAGAGGAATGAAAACAAAAATTTCTTGTGAAAAAAAAAAAAAAGAAAAAAAAAAACTCTACACCTCTTCAAACTGCTCACGATATAGTCCAACGCTAGTAAGGACGAGTCCACCAAGGACAGCCACGAATGTTTGAAGAACCCAACGGAAATTGGGTGTGTCGGCGGTTGCTATTGGGTCTTCGATCAATCCGCGGTTGTGTCGTCGTTCCGATGCATTTTTACCGATCAATTGCTATTGGGTCTTGTACGTCTTTTGAAGAGAGAAGATGACAACGTGGTTGTCCAAGTAGATGAGTCGATAGTTGTCGGTAAAAAATAGTCGGGCCACTGCTCATATATATGTCAGGTTATGTATATATTGCTCATATTTGTACATAGAGAGATGTGAGAGGTTATTTTGGACATTTCAAATTTATTAGTATGGGTAATTTAGTAATTTTGCTATTCATGTAATACCCCTATATTTTAAAGAATTATTTAATTAAATTAATTGTCTTTAAATGAATTTAATGATTTTATTTGTTTTAAATTAATTATTTGTTTACTTGTTTATTTGATTTATTGGTATGATGATGTGCTTGATTGTTGATTGATTTGTTGGCGTGTTAATTTTTATTTGTATGGTATGACTTGGTTGTTAATTCTTATTAGATTATGTGCTACATGTATTTAGTTGTTTTAATATTAAGTATTTATTTATTTGTTTAAATTTAATGGATTGGGCTTTGATTATTTGGACCAAAGGATCTGGGTCTTGGGCTGGAGAAGGAAGCCTCAAAGGATTTTGGATGGTTTAAAGACCCATGGATTTATGCATATACTCATGTTGAGAGCTTGTCTATTTATACAATAATAGAAGTATGTCTATTTATACAATTGTTGAGAGCTTGTCAGCTGGAGTGCCTATGATTTGTTGCCCAGTGTTTGCAGATCAGCAGACAAATTGTTTATATGCTTGCAGTGAATGGGGGATTGGGATGGAGATTGATGGGGATGTGAGGAGAGAGAAAGTGGAGAAAGTGGTGAGAGAGTTGATGGATGGAGAAGAGGGGAAGAAAATGAAGAAGACCGCTTTGGAGTGGAAGAGATTGGCAGAGGAGGCCACAAGACCACTTGGGTCATCTGCTTTGAATTTAGACAAATTGGTGAATGAAGTGTTGATGTCAAAGAGCTAGGCGGAGCTTTACATGGTCCGTGTGGAATGCTTTATATGAGCATGTGAATAAGCACCTGATTAAAAAATAAAAAAAAAAAGGTTTTATTCTAGAGTCTAGTTTGATTTGGATATGGGCTTGTTTGGAACTTTGATACAATAAATTGCTATTGGCCCCTTTTATTAGCTTTTATATGTTTTTTTTTATACGCTTTTATATGTTCCAATAAAGTAACATTTTTGTTCTCCCATGCTTCTAACTAATTTGTACTATAAGATAATAAATTTGTACTAATTGCAAACATGATGTAATGATGTTGCATAATGGATCGATTTCATGCATTTGCTTTTTGGATTAAAAGTAGTTGCTATATACATGATGTAATTCTGTTACATCATCGATTTTCAACGGTTGCATTTGCAAACATGATATAGTATTGTTACTTTGTCAATATCGAATTGTTGCAATGACAATGTCCATACAACACGAATGGAGGGGATTCAGATCGCTTTATTAGCATACAATAAAATGATGTACGTATACCTAAAAGAAGCTTGGTTAACACAAAACAAGGTTAGGCAAGTCGGGCCAAAACTCCGACTAACGGTGCACTATTAGCGGTTGCGGGTTCTGATTGCTGGAAGTTTTATCAAGAGTCCGAATAGTTGTCACCTTGATCCGGACCACCAACTATTGCACCCTCTAGCACATTCGGGTTTGGTGCCTTTTTGTTAAACCAATCTTGGAACCCTCCTTTGCATGTTACTGGCTTTTTATTCCTCTTTATGGACACAATTGATGATCCTCTGTGATGGATCTACTTCGATAGTTTGACCCGAACCCTACCATGTAACTCATTCGTCTCGGGTTGGAACCCAGTATAAAATCCACCTAACAATACAAAGCCAGTCATATGTCTACTTTAGGTAATTTTATCAACATGTTATTCTACTGAATTTATGTGAGTGGGACAACAATCATATTACAATAATTTGAGTATTTACAGCTAATTTTAGTAACTACAAGCATCAACAAATCATTTAAATTGGTATGTAATTCGTAATTACATAATCCAAACAGGAATGGGACCATTAGTGCAGTTGGTAAGTCTCATTTCTTAAACAAGATCAGGAAAGGGTTCGAGCTCCAAGACAGGCTTAATTTTGCGAGTGTGGGTGTGAGTATTTCTATATATATATGTATATGTATGTATGTATAAGCATATTTATGGATTGTCCAAGTATTGTTATGTATAAGAAGATTATATACCTGTGATCGAACAAAAACGAGTATATTGTGAGGTGTGACAATACCACCCTGGCAATGAAGTTTAGATCTTGCAGTGGTTAAGTACTTGGAATAGGCGGTTGTGACAAATAACGCACTCGTGGTGTATTGTAGATTATCCCATGGGCTCCACCACAATAACCCTGCCCGAGTCTTTTTCACATTGCTGCTTCCTTTCTGGATGCAGTTACAAATGAATTGCTCAGCCTGGTTCTTATAAGCCGCCCAAACTTTCTGATTCCCTTTTAACTTTCCCTCCAGAAGAAGCTGTAGGTGTGCAAACATAAAATTCTCATCTAATTAAGCAAATAAGTAACCACAAATAATATTTAGTGTCAGTAAAGATAGGGTCTAATGTGTGAGGTGATTAGGGACGTCGTTCATAGCTCTATTGCACGTTTGTTGTACTGCAGAGGATCCCATTATATTACGTGTACGTTACCTTTGCAATGAGGACTTGGGCACCAACGTACTTGTCGTCCCAAGAGAACATGGATCTGGTGCCACCTGAATTCCTGGATTTAATGATGTAATCAATGTAACTTTGTTGTCCAGTGGCAATGTGCAACCATGCAGCTGCCCATATCAATTCATCCTGTGTGGAGGACAAACAAAATGGTAACCATTATATATAATATATATCCTAGTGTCTTGATAAGTTCCTTGGAAACAAAATGGTACTTGATCACGCACACATACATAAGTGTATATATATATACTTTGATTTTACCTGGTATCCACTACTGGAGTAGAATTTTCCAGCCACTGGAATGCTGTTCTGGTACAGGCCTTGATTAGTTTTAGCGAATTGGAAAAGCTATAATTGAAGACAAAAATCAATTGGATTAGCTTTCTTCAAATCCATAAATGTATTTCAAAGATGCCTAAACACTAGTTTTGATTAGAACATATCCGGTTGTCCCGCATCCCTAGTGGGACTTGAACCCTCCACCTCCGCATTTGTAAGTACATGCGTGTGTATTTAAAGGGAAGGAGGGAGAGAGAGACCTGTTTTGCATGGATGATGAGCTGAGCAGAATATTGAGGGCTTGATTTCCTAAAAGCTATTGCTGATGCAGCGAAAGCAGCTGCAGTTTCCGCCGCAAGGTCAGATCCTGGATGCTGTGCATCAATCTTGTAAGAAGTCCGGGGAGTCGTCATATCCTCTGGCCTCTCCCAGCACGCATGGTCGGAGTCACCGTCTCCGACTTCACCATAAAGAACATTATTCTTTGGGTGAGCTTTGATGAAGTAGTCTGTTCCCCACTTGATGGCTTCAAGAGCATGCGAGAGCTCCTTCTTGGCCTCGAGTTCCGGTCCAAACTCCACAACACTCCATGCAAGCATTGTCACTGTAAATGCCATTGGAAATCCAAACTTCACATTGTCTCCGGCATCATAATACCCTCCCACTAGATCAATCTATTAAAAATGAAACTTGTGTATGTCAAGAACAATAAATTGGACAATTTTTAATAATAACAATGGTAGGGAGTCCGAATGCAGTGATTGTGAATTGTCCATTCTGACTCACGTCAACGGTGGAACCCATCCTCTACTAATAATCACTTTATTGAAATAATCAAATTTTCGCACTCCAAATGGTTTGAAAGCCTACAATGCCCCGGGTGCCGTACTTCCTTGGATTCTCACTTAAGAGCATCTTCAACCCACCAGCCATATTGTCTATCAATTCAAAATATAGCAGGTGGATTAAAATTTGGGTCTCCAATGGGCTACTATTTCACCAGTCAAAAATTGCCTTTATCATTTTTGGTGCCAAATCTAGTAAAACTTATAGCAATAGCTATTTCTATATCTCTCAATCATATCCGTCTCTCTCTCAATTTAGCAAATCTTATCTGATTTTTGCACCATGGTAATTCTTTTCCTTTTTTTTTTAAATTATTTTTTTCAATATCATCTCGTTGAAAATGGATCTATCTGGTTTTGAAAAGTATTATAAAAAATTTCACCAAATAGGATTTAGTTTGCAAAACAAGAATTAAAGTCATTGATTAGTTGATTTAGAAAAAAAAATAAAACAAAACCCATACGTACAAGTTAGCAATTGCAGAGAGAGAGAGGGGGGGACAAGCTTGAGAGTTGAGAGACAGCGGCTAAAGCTCGCGAACGGCGAACCCGAACTAGAACAACGGGCGATGGAAACTGAAAGATATGGGTTTTGAACTTCTGATTCTTGTTGATTTTGTAGTTTGCAGTTGGAGAGAGAGAGAAAGAGGTGGAGTCCACGCTTACACTCTACTGATGATCACCAGTAGGCATACTAAGTCATTAATATGTTTAACCAATTAAAATACATCATTCTAATTGGTTGAGAGCAATTTTTATGAGTACGTAGGACCAACCAACTTTGAGTGAAAGAGTTAAAAGGAGAGACATTTCTCTAATTTTTCTTTTTATAAAAGAAAAAATAAATAAAATAAACTAAAATAATGGTTACACTTCGAAGAAAACTGAACTATATATTACCCCAGCACCCCTGCCATCTTTTAGGCCTGAGTCGCCTCGCCACTTGACACGTTGGTTAGGTGGTAACTTTCCTGATCTTTGAGCTTCAAAGTACAACAAAAATTTGGTAAGGGCTGAACCATAGTTGAATGAAACAACACCATGAAACAAAAGCAGAAGAGAAAATCCAAACACTAAGAATGTGGTTGTAGACATTGTTATGACAAAAATTATAGTAACATAAACAAAGGAATACGACAACAATTGCAAGTTCTCGTGATGGTGGTTCAATTTATAGAGGCAGTTATAATTTACTGCAGTTAATCTATCCAGATTAACTCTTTCTATTTTCATTTGTGTCAATGAATTTCTCTTTAATTTATAAAGATGGTAACCAATCTTTTTTTTTCCTTTCCAATAGGTTGCAATGGTTCACATGAATAGTTATGTCTGTTAGTTTTGAGTTGCAACTTTTTAGAAACAGATACAACTCTTTGAAAAACAGATGCAATCATTTAGAAATAGATGCAACATTTTGGAAAAAAAACTAACTCTTAATTTAAATTTAAAAACTAACCACCCATTTAAATAAGTGTAAAGTTTTTGACTTTTCAACTGTTGGACCCACCACCCACTCAAACATATGGTTTAGAGGCTTTTTTTTTATGCTCATTCTCTCTTCCCGCTAAATCCTCTCTCTCGGCCAGTGCTCTATCTCTCTGCCTTTTTCTTTTTTTTTTTTCCTTTGCAACTTGAATCTTTGATTAATTCATCATCTCTTGGTAGATTTGGGTGCCGTTTGAGGCAAAACGAAGCTTGTGTCGAGCTCTACGCATCCATACCAACAATTCCAGATTTTGTGCACCCTTTGAACTTCGAAATTTAGGACCCATTTCTAGGGTTTTGCCTATTTTGAGGTAGGGGCATCTTAATCCACTCTAGTCTTGTTCTATTGTGAATTTTACCTCCATGTTGGATTAAATATGCTTAATTTAGAGTTAATTATATCTATGATGGTATTAATGCTGTCTAAAGGGTTTTCACGATCTTGAATATGGTTGGTTCATGTGCAAATTATATTTAGTTGTTGATTTCCTATGTTTACTATGTGCTAGCATGCTGAAATTGATGTATGAGAGTATGCTTATTTAAATTGCGCCAAATTTCCCAATTCATGATGTTGAGCTCATATATATATATACATGCACATGCTTAAATGTATTTTGTTGTATCTTAATGTGTTAATAATTACTTGGGAGATGTTGAACATGTTGAATGTTTAATTTTATGATGGAAAATTTTAAATGCCATGACATTGAATGTGTGGAACATATATACATGCACATACCATTGGGTTTGCATGAAATGGGAGAAATTATTCTTGAAATAAATATGGGGAATTTCAGGGAAGTGTTTTTGATAAAATGGTTTTATGTGAAACCCGGTCGCTGCGGGGTTACCAACGGGCCGGAGGTTAATATAGCCTAGAGGGGACTAGGGAGTCGCCCTAGCGTGGTTGAGCTAGCTGGGCCCCATAATGACGCCGCGGGGTTACCAAGGGTCAGGGACACTAGCCAATCCTCATTTCGTGTCGCGGCGGGGTTACCAAAGGGCGGGCTGTATTAACGTTTGAAAGTGATGATTTTGAGAATGAAAATGGGGAGTGTCATGCATTGTATGTCATTTCATTGCATTGCATCGTTTATACTTGGAATTGACTTGTATGTTGTATTTGATCCCCTACGTTGTATGATCCCTATCTCCCATTGGCCTATGCTTTGCTTGAATTCACAAGGATACAAGATTTGTGTCTTAAGTGTCACCTACTGAGCATATAGCTCACCCTACTATTTATACATTTTTTTCAGGTCTTGGAAAAGAATCGGTGGACGACAACCCACCTCAAGCTTGAGCGATACTAGAAGCTCACTTTTGTGTCTTTTGTATATTTTCCATTATTTTTGCAAAGCACTAAAAGTATAAAGGTATATATGTATATTTTGCAAAACTTTGTCATGTAACCTTGTTGATGAATGGGAAGGATAATTTTAGTTAAAGTAATTATCGGTGTTATTTGATTGTATATGATCATATACTGTTGCCGTGAATTCGGAATTTGAGCCATAATAGGTTAAAAATGAATTTAAACAGGGTATGGTAAGCCTATTTTTAGGGGAGGTTATGCCGAATTTTTTGTAAAATTCTTGGCATCAGCTAGGGTCGTTACAATAAGCCCAGCCTAAAATTAAAGGCCCAATCCAAGATTTCATTTAATAAAAAAAATAATTGGACTTTACAATTCGGCCCAAGCCCAAATTTGACTTATTTAAATTTCAATTAGTTTTAACATTTTTTTTTTTTCATAAAATTACCTGAAGTAGACATACGACTAGCTTTGTATTGTTAGGTGAATTATATACTGGATTCCAACCCGAGAAGAATGAGTTACATGGTAAGGTTCGGGTCAAACTATCCAAAGCATATCCGTCACAAAGGATCATCGATTGTGTCCATAAAGAGGAATAAAAAGCCGGTAACACGCAAAAGAGGGTTCCAAGATTGGTTTAACAAAAACGCACCAAACCCGAATGTGCTAGAGGGTGCAATAGTTGGTGGTCCAGATTAAGGTGACAACTATTCGGACTCTCGACAAAACTTCCAGCAATCAAAACCCACAACCGCTAATAGTGCACTGTTAGTCGGAGTTTTGGCCCAACTTGCCTAACCTTGTTTTGTGTTAACCAAGCTTCTTTTAGGTATACGTACATCATTTTATTGTATGCTAATAAAGCGATCTGAATCCCCTCCAATCCTATTGTATGTATATTGTCATTGCAAAAATTCGATATTGACAATGTAACACTATATCAGGTTTGCAATCGTTGAAAATCGATAATCCATTATGTAACGTCATTACATCATGTTTGCAATTAGCACAAATTTATTATCTTATAGTCCAAATTAGTTACAACCATGGGAGAACAAAAATTTTACTTTATTGGAAGATATAAAAGTGCATTAAAAAAATAATAATAATAATAATAATAAATAATTTTTTTAAAAAAAGGGCCAATAGCAATTTATTGTATCAAAGTTCCAAACAAGCCCATATCCAAATCAAACTAGGCTCTAGAATCTAACTACTACTTTCTGTTTTTTTTTTCGATAATAAGGTTTTTTTACCGATTAATTCACATGACTCATATAAAGAGCATTTCACACGGAAGCTCTGCCTAGCTCTTTGACATCAACACTTCATTCACCAATTTGTCTAAATTCAAAGCAGATGACCCACGTGGTCTTGTGGCCTCCTCTGCCAATCTCTTCCACTCCAAAGCTCTCTTCTTCACTTTCTTCCCCTCTTCTCCATCCATCAACTCTCTCACCACTTTCTCCACTTTCTCTCTCCTCACGTCCCCATCAATCTCCATCCCAATCCCCCATTCACTGCAAGCATATAAACAATTTGTCTGCTGATCTGCAAACACTGGGCAACAAATCATAGGCACTCCAGCTGACAAGCTCTCAACAATTGAATTCCACCCAGAGTGTGTCAAAAACCCACCAATTGATGGGTGATTTAGAACTTGTTCTTGTGGACACCAACCTGATATGAACCCTCTCTCTTTAATTCCCTCCAAGAATTCAGGTTCAAAAATTGCTGAGTCCCCAACAACCAAGTCAGGCCTAATCACCCAAAAAAAAGAGTGGTTACTATTAGCAAGTCCCAAACCGAACTCTAACACCTCTTGAGGCTTCATTACAACAACACTCCCAAAATTCACATAGATCACAGAGTTGGGTTGTTTGGAATTGAGCCATTGGAGGCACTCTACCTCTTCTTTCCACAGATTGTATCCGACAGAGCTCAAGCATTGTTCTTGTTCTGGTATTTGATTGAGAAGTAATTGAAGAGGACCAATGGTGTAAACAAGTGGAAACATAGATGCGAGAGTGTTCAGAACTTCGGGTTCTAATGCGTCGAAAGTGTGAAGAACAATGGCGGAAGCTTTAGGTGCTCTCTCTGTTGCTTCCATGGTGTAGTTGAAGACTATGTCATTTGGATCAGTGGTGCCGAAAAAGATTGGGAGATCCTTCAAGCGCATGTTTTTCATACCAGGAATCCAGTCTACAGGGGCATCCAAGAATCCATTTGTTAGATCGCTGGGATCTGCAATGTCACGTGTAATGTTAGCTTAGAAACATTTGCATTTCTTTCTATCAAAATCCCAATTACCGTGGGTTTTATTGTTCTAAATGATTATTGTATATACATATATCATTTATGTACTTGTATATATTCCTTTCTGCAGAAAGTAAGTGTCGCTCCAACTCCAAATTAAAACTATTAAGGGCACCAATGGACATTTGGGCTTACGCAGATAATAAGATCTCTCCTCTTTTTAAAGGGTAATATTATATATGTATGTTTTTATTTGAACTTTTGAGAAAAAAAATAAAAATAAATCTAAGAGTTTTAAATTTTTTAATTGACCCACTTAAATATAAAATTATATTGTTCTAAGAAAATAAATTACTCAGAACATCCCAAACATATTTTCCAAATGCATATGAGGGGTCTAAGGATAGTTTTTTTTATTTCTTTTTATTTTTTATTTTATCTATTCTCACAAATTAAGAGAGGAAAGACTCGAACACGGGCACACTCGTTCAGGGAATATGAGAATTGGATATTCTACTAACTAGGTATAATGAGTGGGTGCTTATCTATTTATTCAAAAGCTTAAATTATTTTGTAGTACTACATACCAATCCATTTATATTCTATTCTATTCATTCCATCTGGATCCGATACGGAACAAACTCCCCTTGTAACACTAGGCCACCAATAATGCCCACAATCTAAGGATAGTTAGGTACTTAAAATTTTGTACTTATCTTTAAAAGGTTCTGGACTATAGAGTGACTATATAATAGGGGTGCACAAAAAAATCTTGAGAACCGAATCGAACCAAGGGCTTTGGTTCCGGTTCCGATTCCGATTCTAAACCCATAGAACCGAGCCGGAACCGAAACTGTATATATATATTACTCCTTCCTTCCCATAATAATTATTCATCTTTCCTTTTTAAGTTATCCCAAAATACTTGTTCACTTATCAAATTTAAACAATATATTTTACAATTTTTTATAAAATACCCTTAAAATTTTAAAAAATTTCAAACTTGATTATATATATATTTAAACTTAAAAGAGTAACTTTAAAATTTTCAAAAATAATAATACAATAATTATACGTCTCCTTAAAAAATTTTACTTCCAATAAGAAGCATCTGTTATGGAAAGAAGGGATTATATATTTAATTATATTATATTACTATAGTCACAATAATTATATAATTTATTATATTATTTTAGTTGTCAGATTCCTCACCCACGTGGTCCCTGGTGTGTCATTGACTTCTTGGAATAAAGCATACCGTAAAGTTTTAAACCTACCTAAGCTCTCATCTCTTCTTTAGCGAAAGCCGCCGCCTCCCATTCATTTAAAAAAAAAAAAAAACTCTCAACTCCTCTTTGGTGAAGCCGCCGCCTCCTTATTTTAATTTTTATTAATGAAAAACCTCTCGTCTCTTCTTTGGTGAAGCTGCCTCCTCAGTCCTCCCATCTTTTTCTTTTTCTTTTTTTTTTTTGATGAAAAACCTCTCATCTCTTCTTTGGTGAAGCGGCCGCCTTCCATCTTCTGTATCAATGTCCTCGGTTCAACTTGAATTCGTTATTCATTGGTGATTCCGACCTCTTATTTTCTCACACACCGTCGTGATGCCGTCGTCTCGTTATCATCGCGGCTTCATCATCTTCAGTCAACGATTCTATGGAACTATACGGTTCCGGTTCCGTCCTAAGGAACCGTGTACACCCCAGTATAGAGTGACCCAAGAGTTAAAAATTAGTTCTAATTCTCTACTGCTATTTCATCTCATGTAACATTATGTGTCATTACATCAAGCAACTTCGCATATGCAACAACTTTATAAAGTAATTAACAACTTTTTCATATATGTGTTGTATTATAATGTAGTGGGTTGCACTATGGATATACTAGTGGCGCAGGACGAAAGCTGTGAATCCAGATTCAGAAAAGAACAATTTTGGAACAGGAAGGAGAAGGGAAAGATTACCTTTTAGTGGTGCAAGGCCTCTCTCCACAAGAGGGCGGAGCTGATAGAAGCCCATGAAACCACAAGCAGAAAGTGTCCACAAAAGTACGACAGGTAGCCCAAATTCTTCAGCAGCAGTGATAGTGAAAGTCATGAAGCCATCAGACACAATGGATGTCACAGGAGGGACATTTGAAGATGCAGTGTCATTGAGTTTGACAAGGAGGTCGCGAAATGGAGCCAAACAGTTCTCTCTAATGGACTTACCAATAATAGGCGGGTCTTGGGTGGAGTCAGAATCCGAAGCAGGGAGGCCATCCGGGATGGTCTCGAATCGAAAGTCAGGCAAACCATCGAGAGAGTTTGGCCCTCTGGATTTGAGGAAGCGTCTGTGGTTGAACTCTGTGTTGACAAAGGTTATGTGAAAGCCCTTGTGGTGAAGCAGCTTTGCTAGTTTTAGAGTTGCTTTTATGTGGCTTTGGTGTGGGAATGGTATGCAAACTGCATGAGGTTTATCAGCTAACGCCATTGTTCTCTCTCTAACACTCTCTCTCTCTATATGGCTCACAATCTCTCCTTTGTGGTGCCAAATATATTGAGCTAACACACTTAATCTTGGATTATCTGGAATGAAAGAGATACATGGCTATTTAATATTTATAGTCAAGAATCATCAACCACGGCTTGCTGATCACGTATGGAGCTGGCCCTAATTAAAAAAGCTTGCTGATCACGCACTTTGGAGGACATGTTTGATGATGTAATGGGTGATGCATTACATGCTGAGTTGGCAATATTCAACATTACGTGTGTGTCACGAGAGACTCAGAAAGTATTCCTCCTTGATGTGCCAAAAGAGTCCAATCTTTTTGTGTTGTGTTGTTTGCAATCAACCTAACACCACGTCACCATGGATAAGGGTTGAAATGTCATCGCAACTACAACCGACAAAAATCACAAAGACTTTTTATTGATCTCTAAATTTGCTTCATTTTAGTTGTAATAAGGAGACTGTGAATTTCACATAATTTAAAAGTGTCTTAAAAACTTTTCGCTTTTTCTAAATCTTAAAAGTGTCTTGATCTAAGTATAGGAAATAATGAGAGTGGAGCTTTACTCATTCATTTAACATAATTCAAATTCAAATATAATGAAGTCAGGAGTTTAAATTCATTTGAAAATACTAATCACGTGCATATTGAAAATTTTACTTTTCTTTCATACTTCACTTTTTGTTATTAGTTTCCGTCTAACTAAGCAGACCCTAATATTATTTCATATATATATATATATATATATATACTCACACCCACACTCATAAAACTAAGTCTGCCTTGGAGTTAAAACCCTCACCTGATCTTCTTTAAGAGATGAAACTTACCAATTGCACTAATGGTCCCATTCCTAATTGGATTATGTAATTACGAATTACATACCAATTTAAATGATTTGTTGATGCTTGTAATTACTAAAATTAGCTATATATACTCAAATTCTTGAAATATGATTGTTGTCCCACTTACATAAATTCAGTAAAATAACATGTCGATAAAATTACCTAAAGTAGACATATGACTGGCTTTGTATTGTTAGGTGGATTTTATACTGGGTTCCAACCCGAGAAGAATGAGTTATATGGTAGGGTTCGGGCCAAACTATCCGAAGCGGATCCATCAATCTCGCAGAGGATTATCGATTGTGTCCATCGATCAAGAGGAATAAAAAGCCGGTAACATGCAAAGGAGGGTTCCAGGATTGGTTTAACAAAAACGCACCAAACCCGAATGTGCTAGAGGGTGCAATAAGACAACTATTCGGACTCTCGACAAAACTTCCAATAATCAGGAACCGCAACCACTAATAGTGCACCATTAGTCGGAGTTTTGGCCCGACTTCCCTACCTTGTTTTGTGTTACCCAAGTTTATTTTAGGTATCCGTACATCATTTTATTGTATGCTAATAAAGCAATTTTATTGTATGCTAATAAAGAGATTTGGATCCCCTCCAATCCTGTTGTATGTACATTGTTTTTGCAACAATACTATATCAGATTTGCAACGGTTGAAAATCGATGATGTAACAGAATTACATCATGTATATATGCATCTACTTTTAATCAAGAAAACAAATGCATAAAATCGATCCATTATGCAACATCATTACATTATGTTTGCAACTAGTACAAATTTATTATCTTATAGTACAAATTAGTTAGAAGCATGAGAGAACAAAAATGCCCCAAGTTACTTCTAAATTTTGAAGACTACTTTATTGGAACAAATAAAAGCTAGTGCAAAGCAAAAAAATACATATAAAAGCTAATAAAAGGGGCCAATAGCAATTAATGTATCAATGTTCCAAACAAGCCCATATCCAAATCAAACTAGACTCTAGAATCTAGCTTCTTCTTTTTTAAATTTTGATAATCAGGTGTTTGGGACTTTTCTCCCACTAATCCACATGACTCATATAAAGCATCCCACACGGCCTAGCTCTTTGACATCAGCACTCCATTCAACAATTTGTCTAAATTCAAAGCAGATGAACCAAGTGGTCTAGTGGCCTCCTCTGCCAATCTCTTCCACTCCAAAGCTCTCTTCTTCATTTTCTTCCCCTCTTCTCCATCCATCAACTCTCTCACCACTTTCTCCACTTTCTCTCTCCTCACATCCCCATCAATCTCCATCCCAATCCCCCATTCACTGCAAGCATATAAACAATTTGTCTGCTGCTCTGCAACCACTGGCCAACAAATCATAGGCACTCCAGCTGACAAGCTCTCAACAATTGAATTCCACCCACTATGTGTCAAAAACCCACCAATTGATGGGTGATTTAGAACTTGTTCTTGTGGACACCAACCTGATATGAACCCTCTCTCTTTAATTCCCTCCAAGAATTCAGGTTCAAAAATTGCCGAGTCCCCAACCACCAAGTCAGACCTAATCACCCACAAAAAAGAGTGGTTACTATTAGCAAGTCCCAAACCGAACTCTAACACCTCTTGAGGCTTCATTACAACAACACTCCCAAAATTCACATAGATCACAGTGTCGGGTTGTTTGGAATTGAGCCATTGGAGGCACTCTGCCTCTTCTTTCCATAGATTGTATCCGACGGAGCTCAAGCATTGTTCTTGTTCTGGTATTTGATTGAGGAGTAATTGAAGAGGACCAATGGTGTAAACAAGTGGAAACATAGATGAGAGAGTGTTCAGAACTTCGGGTTCTAATGCGTCGAAAGTGTGAAGAATAATGGCTGAAGCTTTAGGTGCTCTCTCTGCTGCTTCCATGGTGAGGTTGAAGACTACGTCATTTGGATCCGTGGTGCGGAAAAAGCTTGGGAGATCCTTCAAGCGCATGTTTTTCATACCAGGAATCCAGTCTACAGGGGTGTCCAAGTATCCATTTGTTAGATAGCTGGGATCTGCAATTTCACATGTAATGTTAGCTCAGAAACATTTGCATTTCTTTCGATCAAAATCTCAATTACCGTTGTTCTAAATGATTATTGTATATACATATATCATTTATGTACTTGTATATATTCCTTTATACAGAAAATAAGTGCCCCTCCTTCAACTCCAAATTAAAATTTTTAAGGGCACCAATGGACATTTGCGCTTGCGCATATAATAAGATCTAGGGTAATATTATGTGTGTTTTTATTTGAACTTTTGAGAAAAAAAATAAAAATAAATCTAAGAGACTTCAAATTTTTAATTGACCCACTAAAATATAAAATTATATTGCTCTAAAAAAATAAATTACTCACAATAATGCATACGAGGGGTCTAAGGATAATTTTTTTTTTTTTTTTTCTATTCTAACAAATTAGGGGAGAAAAGACTCGAACACGGGCACACCCACTCGGAGAGTTGGGTACTTTCCCAGCTCTACTAACTAGGTATAACGGGTGGATGCTTGCCCATTTATCCAAAAGCTTAAACTATTGGGTAATGCTACATATCTACCTATTTATACTCCATTCACTTTCCACCCGGATCCGATATGGGACAAGTTTCCCCTTATAACACTAGGCCACAGGTAATGCCCACAATCTTAGGAGAGTTTAGCTACTTAAAATTTTGTACTTATTTTTAAGGAATTTTTACATATAAATGGACTTATGGGCCTATATATACACTACGAGTATTATGTAGTCAAAGTTCCAGAGTTTCTAATAAATGAAGTTAACCAAATTAATAACGTGGACATAAACTTTTATTGTTCACTATAATTTGTTACCCAAAATAACCCTTCACTTTCTGAATCAATTTACTATATTGTCCTCTATTTCTTTTCAGAAACAAAATATACCCTAAATCCCTTTTCAGCCGCAAAAATACACATCAAATCAAACATTATATCATCAACCATCTCACAACGCTTCAGATCGTCGACACTGTGCCAGGGCCAACCTCTATCCTCAATCATCTTCATCCTCGCCAAACAGCCATACCAACCAGTCAACTAGCGACGGAAATCCATCCTTGCTTGCCGCTACTGTTCAGTTCTTCATTGCGTTCTTCAACGCCGGCGACAATTCATGTCAGTGATCCCACTACACCGAAACCATTTGTTCGTTGACCCATCCACGCAAAGACCGATTTGGAACTATAACCCAATGTTCTCCGGAGGCGACCTCTAAACCCGGTCCATAGTTATCACTGACTTCTACATTATTGGCGGCAGCAACTCGCCGAGTCGCCAGCTTTCTGCCTTCGCCAACTTATTCACTATCGACACCCTTAACCGTCGGCAACCATAACCTCTTCACTGTGCCGACAATCATAACCTATCACCGCCGAAACCGCGACATTCTCACAGTTCATCACTATCGTCATTTGACTCCCGCCCACGCTCCTGCGAGTATATCTAACTCGCGCTCACGTGCTGCTTCTTCAACAACATTTTTCCAGCGCCGTTAACCCCTTGCAGATCATCACCAACTCTCTGACGCTGTCAAGCACCATAAACGTCGTTGCCCTCTGCCAAATGGCGAACATGAATAAGCTTGAAACAACAACGATTGTGGTCACGAATGGCGGGCACGACACTCCTCAAAACCAGTTCCACAACTACAGCCCGATCTTGATCCAACCCACAATGAACGTCTCTCATGCATGTTCTCTATTTTATATACCTCTGTGTGTGCTCGATTGACTCATAAGACAAGACTGATCCGGAGCAGTTATAGCTTACCCACAGTATCTGCAATGCCCTCTCAAAGGGCCTCTCAAAGTCAAAATATAGTTGGTGGATGAAAATAATACACTCCAGTGGGCTTTCAAAAGACCTCTTATATTTTAATATTGTCAAAAGTATTATCATATATAGCAGCTCTCAAAATTTTTTGAGAGGTCTCTTTTTTCTCATACGGTGTCGTTTCTCAAAATATAGTAGGTGAATGAAAATAATATACTCTAAATAGTATTTTGACACTGTAACTCCTCTCAAAATATAGTTTGACATGAAAAAATAGCATTTTACATTGGAGATGCTCTAAGGTAGGATTGGACAACTCTATATGTGATGGAAGAAAGAAGCGGTGGCGGCTGGGTATGATGCATGAACAATCATCAATGACCTAAAAAAAATTATGGGCTTTGTTTGGGCAAATTTTAAATTAATTAATGAGGTAGTATGGTAATTTGGTTTAAAAAGTGAAAAGTTACTTTAGGCAACAAATTATACTGAACAGTAAAAGTTTATGTTTACGTCATTAATTTGGTCAGCTTCATTTTTTTGAAATTATGAAACTTTGACTACATGATAGTGTAAATATGGGCCATAAGTTCATTTATATGTAAAAATTCCTACTTTTAAAAGGTGTTGGACTATAGACTAGAGTGACCCAAGAGTTAAAATTTAATTCTAGTTCTCTACTGGTATTCCATCTTATGTTGCATCATGTGTCATTATATCATGCAATTTCACATGGCATATGCAACAACTTTGTAAAGTAATTAACAATTTCTTCATATATTTGTTGTATTATAATGTAGTGGGTTGCACTAAGGATATAATAGTGGCACAGGACCAAAGCTGTGAATCCTGATTCAGAAAAGAACAATTTTGGAACCGGAAGGAGAACCGAAAGATTACCTTTTAGTGGTGCAAGGCCTCTCTCCACAAGAGGGCGGAACTGATAGAAGCCCATGAAACCACAAGCAGCAAGCGTCCACAAAAGTACAACAGGCAGCCCAAATTCTTCAGCAGCAGTGATGGTGAAAGTCATGAAGCCATCAGACACAATGGAAGTCACAGGAGGGACATTTGAAGATGCAGAGTCATTGAGTTTGGCAAGGAGGTCGCGAAACGGAGCCAAAAAGTTCTCTCTAACGGACTTACCAATCGTAGGCGAGTCTTGGGTCGAGTCCGAATCCGAAGAAGGGAGGCCATCGGGGATGGTCTCGAATCGAAAGTCAGGCAGGCCATCGAGAGAGTTGGGCCCTCTGGATTTGAGGAAGCGTCTGTGGTTGAACTCTGTGTTGACAAAGGTTATGTGAAAGCCCTTGTGGTGAAGAAGCTTTGCTAGTTTTAGTGTTGCTTTTATGTGGCTTTGGTGTGGGAATGGTATGCAAACTGCGTGAGGCTTATCAGCTGATGCCATTGTTCTCTCTCTATATGGCTCACAATTTCTCCCTAGTGCTGCCAAATATATATTAGTAAAAATATGATATAATTCTTGATTTATTGTGGTTGAAGAATTTATTAACAAAATTGTAATAAAATATTTCAATTTAAAATTTGATGGTGAGAGAAAGTGGGACATAGTATTTTAAATTCTGGGTGATGTGAAATGTTTCATTATGTGTGTGCATACGACACGAGAGAATTAGAAAGTATTCCTTGATGATGCCAAAAGAGTCCAATCTTTTTGTGTTGGGTTGTTTTCAATCAACCTAACAAATGTGGACCGGCCACGTGACCATGGATCGAAGTAATCAGGGTTGAAATTTCATCGCAACTACAACCGACAAAAATCACAGAGGCGATCTCTAAATTTGCTTCATTTTACTGTTGTTAATAAGGGGAATTTGAATTTCATATAATTTAAAAGTGTCTTGAAAACTTTTTGATTTTTCTAAAGCTTAAAAGTGTCTTTAATCTAAGTATAGGTAATAAAGGGAGTGGAGCTTTACTCATTCATTTAACATAATTCAAATTAAAATATAATGAAGTCCAATAGAATAGTTTAATGACAAAACACGACTCATATTTTTTAGATTGAGAGTTTAAATTCCATTAAAAATACTACTTGAATGCATGTTGAAAATTTTATTTTTCTGTGGTACTTTATTTTTTTTTATTAATTTCCGTTTAACTAAACATATCCTAATATTCTTTTATTTTTCTTGGCTACAGGTTTGGGATTATTAGATTAGTCCATGTCCTCTGTTTGAAGGGCCATTGGGCCTGAATACTTCTTTTCTTCAGCCGATTGAGTAATGAGGATTCCATTTTCGTGTGGGGAAGAGAAGGGACTGTATGGGTAGTGAGGGCTTCACGTTAGTCTTTGTTGATGGCCCATGGGCCTGAATATGGTTTTGGAATGGGTTTTTAATATGGGCAAATCCTTACGAATTAGTATATCTCGGACTAAAATTATTGGGGTTTGATTTTCTTTTGATCTTTGGTCCATCCAATCATGTGTTTTAAGAAAATCAAATGGTTGAAATTCAATATAATTTTGGGTAAGTTAGTTGAGAATTGAGATACAACATGAACCCAATTTATTATAATGGACCACAATACAGCACAAGTACTGTTCAGCCTTCAAGTAACAAACCAGTCCCATAGACAACACACCTCAATTTAACTCAATTACATTTATTTGTACTCTTACGAGTCATGTCACGCCCATATATCATTCTATCTTGAATTCCAATTTATGAACTTAGAAAAGATCATATATATATATATATATATCAATTGTCCTCTTCCACAAATTCACATTGCGAAAATTGTAGCTTGTTGATTTTCTTTAAAAATATCATATATATATATATATATATAAGAGTACAAATATATATGGGCGTGACATGACTCATAAGAGTACAAATAAATGTAACTTTAATTATTGAGTTAAATTGAGGTGTGTTGTCTATGGGACTGGTTTGTTACTTGAAGGCTGAACAGTACTTGTGTTGTATTGTGGTCCATTATAATAAATTGCTTTCCCAATTAATTGAGCGGAGAATTCATTCTCGTGTACAAAGGACATGCCAAGGTTAAAAGGGGCACACCAACCAACGATCCACCACATGCAGCTTGTCCGTAGTTGCTTCTTTGTATATATAGACACACATAGGTACATGAATATATCTATATGATAATTATGGTTCGTATTATCGATAACGGTTGCTTGCGATTTCGGTATAACGGGTTCGGATAAAGTCAATGTAAATTATTTGATACGACGAATCGCGCATCAAAATTGGTCGATACGGTAAATCATAATGATAATATCTCATGTTCACCTAATAGATACATCCATAACATATCCATAACATATCTGACGGTCATTGGTCATCAGTCTTGTAAATAAATTTTATATTCATGGGTGAGAAAAAATCATTACCATATCTATATATAGACAGAGAAAATGAAAGAAAGAGAGTCATGCACATGCTGGGCATGTTCAAGGGCAAATTAACAACTTGGCATATGTTTTGGCAGGGATAGTCAAAGGAGGGGTCCTTTTCTTTACTACAGTATGTCTCATTCCCATTAATATTTATAGAACCACCTTCTTATACGCAATCTGGTTCTATGTTATGCCCATCTTCAAATCAAGGCACAAATCACTCTCATCTAATGGACTCTATGTCCAAGCAAGACCATGCATGTCATTCTACAAGTGATGGTGCATGTATGTGTTTGGAAGCTCAGAAAATTCTCTCTTCAAAATGAAATTTTTTCTTAAATGGGAGATGCCAAGAAATTTTGAATTATTTCTTTTTTTTAAAGACTCAGTACAAAATAGTGTGTGTTTTTATAAGGTAAAAAATGTTAGATTTTGGATTAATAGATGTAGAGGGTTGTGTACTTGATGCCCCGCCCAAGAGAGAGACCCAAGTCCAAGTAGCCTCGCTAAATGGTGATTCAACATAAATTCTCTACATCTTGAAACCCAACCAATTTTGAAGTAGCTTTATGATAATAAAACCAACCAGCAAAAAACATGAACGCTGCAAAGACCAATGCACCAATTGCGATACAATAAAGTTGTAATTCACTAGATAGGTGCATGTATGTGTTTGGACGCTCAGAAAATTTACTCTCTTCAAAATGAAAGTTTTTCTAAAAGGGGAGATGCCAAGGAATTTTGAATTATTTCTTTCTTAAAGACTCAGTACAAAATATTGTTGGTTTTTTTTTTTTTTTTTTTTTTTTTACAAGGTAAAAAATGTTAGATTTTAGATTAATAGATATAGAGAGTCAAAAAATTGAAAACATGGGGATAATAATTTACCAAACTATGGCAACCACTTGTGTTATTTACTAAGTTTCCAAATCACTAATTTTTTTTTTTTTTTCTCTTTAAGAAAAAAGAATAATTATATGAAAGTCCTCTTAACATTATTCTTATTCTCTGTCCTTAAAAACCATTTGTATGTATAATATAATAATTGAAATGATGTGGTTACGTATAAAGTAAAAAAGACATATCCCAAACGTGGGAATGAGACAAAAAATGCGGTGGAACCATTTGTAGTCTTTTTACGCAGCCAAACAACTTATTCTACAAGCATTTTTTTCATGTCACTGTCACATCATATACTCAAATTTTTAATTTCTTTTCCCTATACTTTACTTGTATTCCCCCACTTGAGTCATGCTTATCCATCCAACTATTAATATTAATAATTATTATTTTATTTCGTTTGAGAAATTATTACTAAGACTTATCAATCACAATTCAACAATTATTTAAAATAAATAAATAAAATTAACATATTTATTTACATGACCAAATTATGCAATAGTGTTAGTTCACACAACAATTATGAGTTTTTATCACATACGTAATTGTGTAGATGGTTCAAAATTATTTAGTTGTACGACAATTTATGATTGACCGTGACAATATGATCCCGAACAATTTAATAATTTCTTGACAAGATATAACATATCTCACAAGGGATTAACATTAATTAATTTTGCTCTCATCAATAATATGAACTACAAGGGGTTATACCTGCAAAAATTGTTAATGGGGATTGGGGACACCATGCAATGTCATAATACAAGATGCATGTTCTAATAATTATGATTATTGGTGGGGTCCACTGCTATTTTTAAAATTGGTATCTCACCCTTTGATTAATTGATGCTGAATGAAGACCAGTGATCCACCACTCCTTTAATTAAAGTAGTTGATAAAATGATTAGGAACCAAACTTTAATATAAACATATCATAGAGGGGGTATAACATAAAAATAAAAGACATTCCGTCAAGAGTACAAAAATAGCAATCTATCTTTAGTAACTATTTTTAATAACTCAGGTTTATCAATCTATCTTTAGTAACTATTTGTTTTTATCTTGGTTGGTTGATTGCTTGTCGTATGTGATGTGTGTATATATAAAATAATTATAGGGAAGGCACTTTATAAATGACTATGTACTATGTATACAAGTTCCCATGTATGTATACAAATTACATAAGATTTTAGAATTTCTATCCTATTTGAGTTTACATTCTACAAATTTTAAAAGTTTTTTTATTAAATTTTTTGAGTTCCTATCCAATTTAAGTTTTCATAAAAAAAAAAAAATTTTTAAATATTTCTATAGTCCTATATTTTCTTAATCACAAAAAGGAGGAGGAGTTTCTATAATACTCTATTTTTATTTACTGTTATTATTTTAAAAGATTTTCTATAAATTTTGGACTATTTAAAAACCTATAAAAATAAAAAATATATATATTTAAGACTTGAATCAAAAGATTATATATGTGTGTGTGTGTGTGTGTGTGTAGCTATTTGCAACTCAAAATATATTTAAGTCCTAAAATTATTTGTCAAGTACTCAAATCCATCCAAAATGAAAACAACTCAAAAGTTGTTGTTTTTTCCACAAAATATAATGCCTTTAGGGAAAGTGCAAAATAAAAAAGAAAAAGAAAAAGAAAAAAGCATTCTTCAAATTGAACAAATAAGAACGTTTTGTTTTGAGATTTTAATAAATTAATATAATCTATGAATGCTAGTTTTCAAGAGCAGCCATAACAGAGAACTCTCCAAAAAAAAATATAAATAAAATAAAATAAAAATAGTCTATAAGCAGCAAATGGACAGATTTAGTAAATACATGACCAATTAACACTAGAATCCATAAAAAGAAAGCACAAAACACATCAAATTTACACAAAGGCAAGAGTTAACTAAGGCAACAAAGCTTTTGCCCACATTCCACAAAAATCTTTACCAATTAATTAATTATTCTTAACATAAAAGCCAAAAAATAAATAAATAAATAAAGAAATATATATAATCTCTAAGATTATAAATTTCCAAATAAAACTTTAATATCAACCAAAAAAATAAAAATAAAACCTTCTTCAAAGTAAGAAAAGAACAAGCCAACAAAGGCATTAATAAATTCTAGCTCAATCAGAGGGTTTGGTCTTGGACCTGTAAAGGAGATGCTTCTTCTTTGAGGTTTGGTTATCAAATTTGAGCACCACCTTGCCCGGTTCACCGATTTTGAAGCTGTTGCAGATAACTGGTTCATCAGAGGGGCTAATCTTCCGCGTCTTTTGTACAATTATAGTGTAGCCGTCCTCGGCACTGGGCTCGAATTGAGCTCCATAGCTCACATCCCACCCCACAACTCTGGCCTCCCAAACCAAAACACATTTCTGCAAATCCAACAATCCCCAATTTCAAATTCCAATACAAACATAATCAATACATTAATGTATATCATCAGCTCAGAGACAACAGTGTATTAATCCAACAATCCACAAATTCAAATTCCAATACAGACATAATCAATACATAAATAAATGTATATCATCAGCTCAGAGACAACAGTGTATTAATCCAACAATCCACAAATTCAAATTCTAATACATATATAATCTAATCATGAATGTATCACAATTCATTAAAACGGTGATATTCATCAAAATCAGCAAGGATTTCCCCTCAGAAATAGAAATTTCCACTTTGAATTAATCCGACAATCCTCAAATTTAAAATTCAAAGACATACATAATCAATACATAAATGTATCAAAAAATATTCACCAAAATCAGCAAAGATTGCCCACCTCAGAAACAGGATTTCCAACTTTGTATTAATCCAACAATCCCCAAAATTAAATTCTAAAACATATATATATTCAATGTATAATGATAAATGTATTGATATCCTAAATCATTAAAGCATTGATATTCACTAAAATCAGCAAAGATTGCCAACCTCAGAAACAGGAATTTCAATGGTGTATTCACTTGTTGGCTTGATAGTCTCCACTGTAACAGAGTCATCAGTAGTGAGTTCCTGCTCACCCTCCCTACTAAGTCCACCAAATTGAACTGGTACTTGCTCAGGACCTATATACCTGATTTTTAAAAAAAAATAAAATAAAATAATTCAAAATAATGTTACATATAAACATATAGATAAACCCACAAAACAAAACAAAAGTAAAACAAAAAAATAAAACAAAATTCACTAACTTGAAAAGGGTTTCAACAGATTTTGAAGGGCCTGCAAACACAAACTTGCTCTTGGTCCTTTGTGTGATACTCATCACCCTATTGTAGGCCAAGTACCACCATGGAACATTGATAAACACCTTTGTACCACAAAACCCATATCAAATTAATACTCAAAACATTAATATAAAACCACAAATCACACCCACACACATACAAACTTATATACATATAATATATAAATATATATTGTCGTGATGGGCATACCTGTTTGGCGACAAACTCAGGGTAGTTATCCTGAAGCAGTTGGAGGGCTTGGTTGGTGACCGAACGGGGCTCTCTCTTGAAGGGTCCTGGAATATTCTTGAGATCATTGACCTGAACGATGGTGGATATGCCATCGGGACTGAAATCGAGCTTTCTGATGCTCTTCTCCAATAACTGAATTCGCCATCGAAGAAACTTCTGCCTCTTCTCATCATCAGCGAATGTGTTTTGATACAAATCTTTGTTCTGGAATTCACCATACACGTTGTAGCAAATTGGGTGGCCTTCTTTGTCGACCCCCTTCATGAACGCCACCTTTTCCAGCTCTGTCCCTGCCCCCAATTCTTCCTCCAGCAAGGATTCGATTCCGAACTCCTTTCGCCACCGGACGGTGTTCTTGATCATTGTGAAAGCGTCTTTCACCTTGAAATCTCTGCCCCTGAGGAATTTCAGTAGAATCACATCGCTTCTCTCGTCTGCCAGAAGCGGAATTCCAAAGATAGACACCTCCTCCGCCGGCTGGACGGTTTCTTCCACTGCTTCGGCGGTCTCAGATGCCTCCGCCGCAGGCGGCGGTGGAGGCGACGCCACCTCTGCAGGGGCCTCTTCTGTTTTCTCTTCGGATTTTGGTTCTTCTCCAGTAGCGGCGGCGGTGGGTTTCTCCTCCTCCGTCGGTGGAGCGGCCTCGGCGGGCTTCTCTTCTTCCTTAGATGGCGGCGGCGCAGTGAATTCGTGCTTGTTGAGGGCTTCTTGGATGAGGTGTTTGAGCTCATCCAGAGCCTTCTTTTGTGAGTCAGGAAGTTCCCCGACCACGTTGGTTTCCTCCTTGAAAGAAGTCGATTCCGCGATCTTCTCCTCCTCGGCTGGCTTCGGCTCCTCGGCCTCCACGACAGGAGGCGCGGGCAGAGGAGGATCTTTCTCTGCGGCGGCGGCGGCGGTGGTGGTGGGTTTCTCTGTCACCACTTCCTCAGTTGCTGGTGCCTCCGGAGCTGTCGTCGTTGTTTCTAATTCAGACATGACACTGTTTTGGTGTTGGATCAAACAACTCAAGGTACTGAATCTCTAGAGAGAGAGAAAGAGAGATGTAGAGAGAGAAGAGTATGAGGTTTAGAACGTGAAGCGGTTAGTTATATATGTAACACTGTATGGTGATGGACTTTGGAGAGAACCACCCTGTCACACTTGGATTGCCAGCATATTTATAATATTTTTTTGGGAGGCGAAGAGAAAAAAATCAAAAACAAAAAACTTCAAGCATAAAATAGAAAAGAAAAGAAAAAAAAAAAAAAATTAGTATTCCCATCACCATCCCTATTAAGAAATCTTTCATTATACCTAAAGATCAATATCAAATCCTAATGATTGAGAAAAAAAAAAAAAAAATTAACCAAAAAATTAATTTTAAAAGAAAAAAAAGTTAACCAAAAAAACTCAATATACCAAAAATATTAATTAAATTAGAGAGGAAACAAATATATCTTAATGGTAATTATAGTATTTAAGAAAAATAATTATTAATTTTACCATTAAAATTAGAGGTGTCATTTTTTTTCAAGATTGAACTGCAATAGTATAAAAATAGAGTGGCCTCCCAATTTTTTCCATATATATATATTTATAATATACCCATATACTACATATACTATTTCCATCACCATCCCTATTAAGAAATATTTCATTATACCTAAAAAATCAATATCAAATCCAAATGATTGAGAAAAAAAAAAAAAGTTGAAAAGTTTAAAAAGAAAAGAAAATTAAGAAATTAACCAAAAAAAAGTCAATATACCAAAATTATTACTTAAAATAGAGAGGAAACAAAAATATCTTACAATAACTTAAAAGGATAATTATAGTATTTAAGAAAAATAATTATTAATTTTTAAAATTAAAATTAAAATTAAAGGTGTCATTTTCTTTAAGATTCAACTGCAATAGTATAAAAATAGAGTGGGCCTCCCAATTTTTTTCCATATACATATATTTATAATATACCCATATACTACAAAATGAACAAATTGTCTTGTGACACAATATCATTTATTTCCATAATTTTATTTGTTATTTTTTTAATCATTTGCTGCTTCTTATATCTTCCTTTTTTTTTTTTGTTTTCTATACTAAAAGAGTAGTAAGTATCCTACTAATTAAAGTTATTAAATTAAATAATCACTAGATTTACATTGGAGTCATGCCACGCAAACCTGGACCGAATGCATCCATCCGTGGGATGCATTCAACCGAGCCCAAACATTCATTTTTAACATGTGATTACTTAAGTATCATTATTATTATTATTTTGTACATTAGCTTTACTTAGGAAGAAGGAAAGAAAATGTGTGTCGGGAAAATAAGTAAGAACAAACGTTTTTTTTGTTAGGTAAGAATGATACAAGGAAAGAAATAATAATAAGAAGGATGAATTATCTTTCTTCCTTTACAAATTTACATCCATCAAGTTTTACAAATTTTCTTCCTTTTATAAGTGTTATTACAGAAGTTTTAATTTAAATACTATCATAAATTATACAAGTTTTAAATTATAATATTATCCTTTATAAATTAGAGTTTTATAGATATGACAAGACTTGTCTACTCACCGGTGAGTAAGTCATCCCTACTCACCGCTAATGTAGTTCAATTACAAATGCACACATAGTCTCTAATTATAAAATCAGGTAAGTGATAAATAAAGAAATTGAGAATTGAATTTATTCCAAAATAAATTATTGCCCCTATTTATCACTTTCCTAATTTTATAATTACAGGCTATTTGTGGTAAGTAGGGATGACCTACTCACCGATGAATACGCAAATCTTATCCTATATTACTTTATATAAAGCTAAAAATAATTTAAAATCTTGATTACAGAAAAAAAGAAAGACAATCCCTTTCTAGTTTCTAAGGATATCTTATACATCCCTTCTTCTCTCCCTCACTTTCGTTTATTTATTTCTTTTCTTTTTTGGTGCATAACAAAGCAAAACATTATGCAGTCTCGTATACAATCACTAAATTTACATTAACATTAAGTAGTCTCCATTACATTCAAGTTTTGGAACACATCAGCCTTGAACCTTGAATTAATTATTTCAAGTCATATATTCTATTTGAGAGTTGTGCTAATCAAAGTCATAGGGACGGAGTCAGAATTTCAGGTAGGGGGCACACTTTGAAATATATATATATAAGAAAAAAATTATTCAAATATGCTTGTTAAAAAGAAGAATTTTGAGAGGTATAAAAATAAAAAGGAAAGAAAAATGAGAGAATTTTAAAAAGAAAATTTTGACTTTTTCTTTTAAGGAAATTAAAGGATTTTGAAGAATAAAAGAGAAATTAAATAAATAGTTAATAAATTTATTTCATACATATGAAAGAAAAAAAGAAAAAAAAATTTAAAAAGACCACATATATTGAAAAGGGCAGACCAGGAGAGCACGTGCCCTCCCAAAGCTTACATTGGCTCTGTCGTGGTCACAAATGAAGCAAGTAGAAGCATTAGATTGCCAAGCAAGTAGAAGTCTTAGATTTTATGCATCCTACAGTAAAATTCGCATATTCAAAAGTTGTACTTGTGCAGTTGCATTGGAATTAACATTCCTCTTTATTTGAATAACTTTGATGTCTTAAAAATAATAATAATAACTTTGTTGTAATTAAATGAGGCTTCATTTTTTTAAAAATAATTTCATGCCTAAATAAATGACATACAAACAATAAATAATATTTTCTTCGTTTCAGATAATATAACTTTTTAAGAGTATAATTTTTTTTATGTTTTTTTTATTATAGTGGCATGAAATGACTTTTCTAGTGTATTCTTCTAAAATTTTGTCTTGACATTCTTTGAATGGATCACTTATTTCAAGACGAGAGTAAATTAGAAATATTAAAAACGTAGTGTATTCAATTTTGAACAAGAACGCTAATTTTGGACAGTCAATAAAACAAAAAACAAAAAAAGAAAAGAAAAGGTGGATACTTGTTTTTGGGATTGAGGAGAAAAACTTTTTGGGTGCAACAGGCACATCCAATCGTTTATTACCGGCTATATAATACATTGTAACATGCCTATCCAATCGTTTACTATCGGCGTGTGTAATGCATTGTAACTGGCACATCCAATCGTTCATTACAAATATGTGTACATTATACACACAGGAACGTATGTATTACATGAACGATTTGAATCCGCCGGTTACACATTGCAGCAAAAAAATGTTTTTCTCAGGGAGTATGACAAAGACAGGAGTTTGCTTGTGGGAAGTTAATGTTACAAGAAAAAGTGATACTCGTGTCGTCGTGCGGTTGTTTACACTTGCTGTGTGTTTGTGTTTGTTTTATGACTACGCATGAGGTACGGAATGTTGGAGAGCATGCATATTTGGTCCTGATCTTGCGTTACGTGAGATGTCGTTAAAAAGGTGTCATTCCTTCAATAAAGTAATGCTTGTAAAATGGTGTTATATTTGGCCATATTTGGTCCGGTTCTTTTTGTGAATGAATTCTAGATTCGGCTATGTTTTGATTTAATTAATTAGATGAATAAAATTTATGTAACGTTCATTTTGTCTTGACATTCTTTGATTAGACTACTTATTTTAAGACAAGAGAGTAAATTAGAAATATTAAAAATATAGTGTATTGAATTTTGAACTAAAACACTTATTTTGCATAGCCAAAAATAGAAAGGTGGATACTTGTATTTGGGATTGAGGAGAAAAATTTTTTTGCGTCTGTTGCATCGTGTAACGAACATATCCAATCGTTTATTACCGACTATGTAATACAGTACAATATGTACATCTAATTATTTATTATCGACGTGTGTAATACATTATAACAGATACATCTAATTATTCATTACCGATATGTATGCATAATACACACACGAACGTAAATATTATATAAACGATTTAAATGGCCCGTTACACATTACAACAAATGAAGTTTATCTCAGGAAGTATGACAAAGACAGGAGTTTGCTTGTGGGAAGTTAATGTTACAAGAAAAGGTGATACTCGTGTTGTTGTGCGGTTGTTTACACTTGTTGTGTGTTTGTGTGTGTTTTATGACTATGCAATTGTGCATGAGGTACAGAATGTTGGAGAGCGTGCATTTTCCGGATCTTACGTTATGTGAGATGTGGTTAAAATGGTGTCATTCCTTCAATAAAGTTATGCTTGTAAAATGGTGTTATATTTGGTCATATTTGGTCCGGTTCTTTTTTGTGAAAGAATTCTAGATTTGGCTATGCTCTGATTCAATTAATAAGATGAATAAAATTTATGTAATGTTCATTTTGAACTCTAGGTTGGTTGGTTTGTTACTTTAATAAAGTAATGCTTGTAAAAACAAATAAAAAATACATACAAATTAATTTTAAAGGTTGGTTCGAGTGGGTAAGTGTAACCAGTCAGATGTTTCGTAGTCTGACTCAAAAGCTTAAACTATTAACATCCAACTCGTATATATCCAATCACTTCCCCATCTCAATCCGATTTGGACAAGACTCCTCTTATAATATTATTCCTCACCCAAAATCGCAACGCTCTCATTGCAGTCTGGTCACTCTATTTATCTGGGGTGTTCACCTGGACGCCTCCGAGCGCACCGGACAAAAGACGGGTCCTTACTTTAATACCAACTATAACTAGTCGGGTGCTTCGCAATCTGACCAAAAAGTTTAAGATATTAGGTGGAGCTAATGCCTAACTCATATATACCCAGTCAAGTTTTCTTTCGGATCCGATATGAGAAAAGACTTTCATTCTAATAGTAAGTCACTTGATCCTTGTTCCTCGAAAAGCACCAGGTCTAAAGTTTGACTTTTTTTTAATGCAAATAATTCTTTAAAGGGAGATGTGTGTACCAACTAAAAAGTCTTAATTTTAAATTTTTTGTAAAGGTATCTTATTAAAGCTTAAGCATGTTAATGCCACAATCTAAAAAATAAATGACAATGCAACAATCTAAAAAATAAAACATTGTTTTAATGTCTTTTCGTGATATGTTGATTTTTCTCATCAATTTAATTGCCAACAAAAACACAAAAAAAGAAAATGATTGTCAAACATGTCACAAGTATATATATATATATATATATATAAGAGAATTTTTAAGGGGAAAAAAAAAATTAAGACAATAAAAATAAAATTGAAGAAGAATAATGAATGGAATGGGGAATGGAATGAGAATGTTTATTTGAAATGTGTAGGAATAGAATCATAATAATGTGTTTGATTGGATCAATGTAAAATTTAGATCTTTTAGTAACAAATAAATTAAATTAACAAAATGTCATTATCTAATAATTTTTTAAAAATAAATGGTGGTAGTGCAGTAGATGACGGAAATCGGTAATGGTGTAGGTGGTAGTGTTGGAAGACAGCGGTGGTGGCAATGGTGGAAGGCGACAGTGGTGTTGGTGGAAGGCGGTGACATAATGTGGTGGTGGAAGCCAATGGAGGTGAGGTGACTATGGCGGTGGTTAGTGGTGTATATTTATACTTATTAAAGGTAATTTAGTATAGAAAAATTTAAATTGGCCACCTCAAAATTTTCTTGTTATTAAAGATGATTTGCAAAATAAATTGCTTGTCTTTCTCAAAGCCTAAGGTATCCTTTTTTTTTTTTCTTTTTCGGATTGTTATTATTTCATTCAGGAGCCAGAAATATAAAGTTGGAGGGGCCAAATTGTAACAATTTTTTTTTAGTGCATTTTAGACTCTTTATTTTTTAGTTAACCTGTCTATAAATGTATGTCAAGAAAAAAATAGAGACAAAGAACATATGACAATATAATAAATGAGGTTGAAAATTTGAAAAATTAAAATATTTTTTATTTTTAATTCATAAAAAACAACAATATATGTGTGGGCGCATGTGTGCTATAAATATATATTTTAACTTGACAACCTCATTTAGACTGTCATATGTTCTTCTCTCCCCACTTTATATTGCTGGCTCTGTCCCCGGTGGTGGTGGAAGGCGATGGTGGCGGTGGTTGAAGGTGGTGACGATTATGGTCGGTCATATGTTCTTCTCTCCTTTTACTCCTGGTGGTGGTGGAAGGCAGTGGAGGTGGTGGAAGGTGGTGGTGACGATTATGGTCTGTCATATGTTCTTCTCTCCATTTACTCCTGGTGGTGGCGAAAGGCAGTGGAGGTGGCGGTGGTGAAAAGTGGTGGTGACGATTATGGACGGTCATATGTTCTTCTCTCCATTTACTCCTGATGGTGGTGGAAGGCAGTGGAGGTGGTGGTGGTGGTGAGGGAAGGTGGTGGAAGATGGGGCCAATGCCGGTGGAGGTGATGGAATGCAGTGGCGGCAATGGCAATGGTGAATAGTGGTGGTGGTGGAAGGCAATGGTGGTGGCGTAGGGCGGTGGTGGAAGGTGGTGCGGGTGAAGAAAGGGGGTGGCGGAGGTGGTGAATGGCGGTGGTGGTGGTGAAAGGTGGTGAAAGAAGCCGATTCCACGATCTTCTCTTCCTCGACTGGCTTTGGCTCCTCGGCCTCCACGACAAGAGGCTCGGGCAAAGGAGGATCTTTCTCTGCGGCGAGAGCGGGGTCCCCTGCCTCCGGAGCTACCGTCTTTGTTTCTTCATACATGACACTGTTTTGGTGTTGGATTAAAGTACTGTAGAGAGAGGAGTATGAGGTTTAGAACGTGAAGCAGTTAGTTCTGTAATACTGTATGATGATGGACTATGGAGAGAACCACTCTGTAACACTTGGATTGCCTGCATATTTATAATATATTTTTGGGAGGCGAAAAAAAAAAACTACTATTCCCGTCACCATCACTATTAAGAAATCTTCCATTATACCTAAAAGATCAATATCAAATCCTAAATAGAGATATAATATCAAATCCTAATTAGAGATACAATATCAAATCCTTCATTATACCTAAAAGATCAATATCAAAATATACCCATATACTACAAAATGAACAAATTGTCTTGTGACGCAATATCATTTATTTCCATATTTTTATTTTTTATTTTTTTAATCATTTGCTGCTTCTTATATCTTCCTCTTTTCTTTGTTTTTCTTTTCTTTACTTTACTAAAGAATAATAAGTATTCTACTAATTAAAGTTATTGAATTAAATAATCACTAGATTTACATTAGAGATTTTTTTTTTTTTTTTTTTTTTTTTTTTTTTTTTTTGGATGGTAAAGCAAACACACACACACTTTTTTGCCCATTTGGCCCAAGCGCTTATTTGTTGAGGAGAAACTAATCCAATTCGGAGTTGTTGATGTTTATTCCGATCGATCATAGAAGAAAAATTCTGATTCATTCCGATTAAGCTTCCTTCCTATTAATCTGTAAGTTCTTCTCAGATACAAGGAAATGATTCAGTTCCAGAGCCAAAGATCGTAGTTCTCGAACGAGCAATCGAAAAGATTCTGGAGCATCCTCAGGAGCATCCTCAGGATTAGGTATTGTTCCTCCAACGATCGTAGTCCCAAGTACTTCTTGGCGAGCTCTAATATGATCAGATTTATAAGTAAGCATCTCTTGTAAAATATGAGCAACACCAAATCCCTCTAGAGCCCAAACCTCCAGACTCGAACTCCTCCCCTCATCTTTGAAGATGGTGAGGTTATACCATTGGGCCAAAGGCCCTTTGGTTACATTGGAGTTATGCTACACAAGCCCACCATTTCAATTGAAATGCTGGGCCGAATACACCCCATCTGTGGGATGCATTCAACCAAACATTCAATTTAATGTAACATATGATTAGGGGTGGGTAAAAAATCCGTGAATTCAATTTGATCCAATTCGATTGTTAGACTTATAGATCGGTGGCGGATTCAAAAATATTGAATTCGTAGTTCAAGGATCGAATCACGGATTAGGCCGTCAAAAATCCAATCCGATCCGTGAATCTGATTCGTGGCCAATCCGTAATATATATATATATATATATATATATATATATATATATATATATATATAATATTATAGTAAGAGTAGTGATCTCTTGCTCCCTATGGAGTAAGAAAATTCTTCCGCACATTTTATAGTGATCATTAGATTAAATCTAATGGTCACATTCTAAACTCACCTATATACTTTCCTTTCAATACAAAACCATTACCACTATTTCAAGTTTCCAAATTTAATATTTATCAATACCATTAATTATAAAGAATAAATGATAAGTACTAAAAAATAAAACTAAAAATCTCTTCACCTTTGGAAATCATGTCTCATCACTAATCGAAATTTTATTTTCTTTAAAAAAAAATTTTAAGTGTTAGAGAATTGCATCCATGACTTGATACTAAAGTTGACATTGCGTATTTGTTTGAGTGTAAAAAAGAAATACGTTAATTTGACTTATTCTATGAAATTTCAGATTTGACTTATTCTAATAAAAACAACTAACTAGTTGTAAACACATTCTAATTACTCTTAAGTTGTACAAAATCTTTTTCTAGTACTACTATAATAACAAAATTTTGTTGACATAATGAGGAAATTCACGACAAAAAATTATATTATTCTATGAAATTTTAGATTTCCGTTGTAAATTAGTTGTTTTTATTAGTTTTTTTTTTAATACTGCTATTATTATCATCATTTTTTTTTTCACTATCATCATTTTTTTTGGTAAGCAAAAAAGGTATGAAAGACTGCTAATACGTAAAGTAACAACAAAGACATCGAAGAAAATAAAATTTCCGATTAGTGGTGTTGAGACGTTATAGAGGTGAAGCGATTAATATTTTTATTAGTAATTAGTGGTATTAGTAAATTTTAAATTTAGAAACTAGAAATAATAATTGTGGTTTTATATTAAAAGGAAAATATATAGATGGGTTTGGAATTTAACTATTAGATTTAATCTAATGGTCACTATAGAAAGTGCGAAAAAAATTTCTTACTCCATGGGGAGCAAGAGATCACTACTCATTATAATAATATTGTAACTAGCATATATAATAAATGATATTTCGTCACAAGACAATTTGTTCATTTTGTAGTACATGGGTATATTATAAATATATATATATATACACACACACACATATATATATAATATTATATAATATATGTGTATATATATATATATACACATATGAACTCCTAACATACCTTACTTTTTGTATTTTCTTTTTTTGATAAGTATTATACAATTAGTTTTATAATATTTATTACTCAATCAATAGCAATAGACCACCAAATTTTCATTTAATCAAAACATAAACCTAGCCAAAGATGAAAACGGTTTAGCCAAAGATGAAAGAACTCAAAGAACTAAAGAATAGCATAGACTCACCTATTATGCAATTAAATTAGTTTTATTTTTGTTATATTATTATACACTTATACTGCATTGTATGTGGATATGAAATTGGGGAAAATAGACTATTTTGAAAAATCCAGTTTGTGAATTAGATCCAATCCGATCTGCCATTTCACTAATCCAATCCGTTGGCTAACTGATTGGTGATAGATTCAAAATCTCCCAATCCGTTGTAAGCGGATCGGCTTAGGATTGATGCCTAATCCGATCCGATCGTCATCTCATGATATGATAACTTAAATATCATTATTATTGTTGTTGTTATTATTATTATTATGTATATTAGCTTTATTCGGTAAGAAGGAAAGAAAAGGTGTGGAAAGAAAATAAAAAGTAAGAACAAACTTCTTTTATTCAGTAAGATACAAGGAAAGAAATGATAATCCTCATTTACAAATTTTCATCCATTAAAAAATGAACGAAAAAAAAAAAAAAGACAAGTGCTATTATAGAAATTTTAATTTAAATATTATCCTAAATTATACAAGTTTTAAATTATAATATTATTATCTATAAATTAGAGTATTATAGATATGACAAGATTTTTCTACTCACCGGTAAGTAGGTCATCCCTACCCAGCTAATGTAGTTCAATCACAAATGCACACATAGTCTCTAATTCTAAAATCAGGAAAGTAATAAATAAAGAAATTAAAAAGGGTCACTGAATCTAATTATAAAATCAAAAAAGTGATAAATAAGGAAATCAAAGAGGGTCACCGAATTTATTCCAAAATAAATTATTGTCATTACTTATCACTTTCCTAATTTTGTAATTACAGACTATTTGTCATAAGTAAGGACGAGCTACTCACCATGAGTAGACAAGTGTTGTCCTATATTACTTTATATATAATGGTAAAAATAATTTTAAATTTTTTTTTTCTTCTTCTTTTCTAATTAACATATAGTAAATTGTGCACATTAAAAAAGAAAAAAATTTAGAATTAAAAAAAAAAAAAAGGAAAGAAAAATGAGATAACTTTGAAAATAAAAAAGTTATTCTAATGCAAAAGGAAAATTTGACTTTTTCTTTTAAAGAAATTAAAGAATTTTGAAGAATAAAAAAGAAATTAAATAAATAGTTAAGAGAAATTTTAGGGGGGCACGACATAAATTTATTTATTTCATACATATAAAAAAATAAAAAATAAAATAAATACAATCACGTCTATTGTAGAGGGTAGACCAGGAGAGTACGTGCCCTCCTAGACTTATATTGGCTCGGTCGTGGTCGCAAATCAAGCTAGTAGAATATTAGATTTTATGCATCCTACAGTAAAACTCGCATATTCAAAAGTTGTACTTGTGCAGTTGCATTGGAATTAACATTCCTCTTTTTTTTGAATAACTTTGACGTCTTAAAAATAATAGTAATAATTTTGATGTAATTAAATGAGCTTCATTTTTTTAAAACAATTTCATGCCAAAATAAATGACCTTGAAACAATAAATAATATTTTCTTTGTTCCAAAAAAAAAAAAAAAATTTGGATAATATAACTTTTTAAGAGTATAATTTTTTATTTTTTTCTATTATAGTGGCACGAAATGACTTTTTTAGTATGTTCTTCTAAAATTTTGACATTCTTTGACTCGATCACTTATTTTAAGACAAAAGAGTAAATTAAAAATATAATGTATTGAATTTTGAATTTAAACACTTATTTTGGACCGCAAAAAAAGAAAGGTGGACACTTGTTTTTGGAACTGAGAAGAAAAACTTTTTTGTGTTTGTTGCCTCGTGCAACGGACACATCCAATCGTTTATTACCAACTATGTAATACACTGTAAGATGTACATTCAATTATTCATTACCAACGTGTGTAATACATTATAACGAGTACATTCAATCGTTCATTACCTATATGTATTTATAATGCACACATAAATGTATGTATTATATAAACGATTTGAATGTGCCCGTTGTACATTATAGTAAAAGAAAAAAATAGGAGTGTGCTTGGGCAGTTAATGTTACAAGAAAAAGTAGTACTTATATTGTTGTGCGGTTGTTTACTCTTGTTGTGTGTGTTTTATGACCATGCATGAGGTACAGAATGTTGGAGAGCGTGCATATTTGGTCCGGATCTTGCGTTATGTGCTATGAAGCACGGACATTCCTTCTAGGGACCCCGTACCCGTGTCGGATACTTTTCGGACACCGACACCCGTGTCCGAGGCTCGGACACGTGTCCGATACTTCTGTAAAGTGTCCAAATATTATTTTTTATTGGACATGCGTGTCCGAGGCTCAGACACACGGTCCGACACTTCTGTGAGA